ACCGCATAAGCGGAAAAAGTGAAAAATTGCAGATTTGCAGAAAATTGCTTCTTCTCTTAGCAGGGCAGTACTGAAGGGGTCTTAGTAACGACGCTCGAATACATCCTAATAGCTCTAGAACAGTGTTACTCAAAGTGTGCTCGGCAAAGCATACGGCAAGGGCCAAGATTTGCCATTAAATCATCCGAAAAAAACCTTTTTTTGTATGATTATTAATAAACAAGGTTTCGACCCCAAACGAGTTTGAGAAGCGCTGCTCTAGAAGACTTCTCTTTTCATAAACTCGATCAAATGAATGGAAAAGTCGTTGAAGATTCAGATTTGTCAAGACGTCAATATTCAACATGTTTATCCTACAGCTTACAACTATTTAGTGTCTTATAATAATTGGTCAAGTGCATGGGTGTAAATAAACTCTAGGGAACATCACCATCGTGTAACGGAAAATACTCTAACACGCTTTGCGCGGCAATAATATTTAAAGGTCAACAAATTTCGTTTGCGTAACAATCAAGCCAACAAGGGAAGAAAGAATGCCTTGCATGGCGTAACAAATGCGTATCTTTTCCTCTATTTTCTACTAACAGATCGTCTATCTATTTAACTCGGGCATGCACCGAAATATGCACATGAAAAATGCGCGACTTTGGAATTTTACACGTTTATTTAAGCGAATGGCATAAAGCCCGTGTCCCACGCATCCGTTTGTACGAAAGTGTTTCTATTGGTTGGAGATCTGTCAATTCGTACGACGACGGACGAATTGACAGATGATACGATGGTACGAAAGTGTTTCTATTGGTTGGAGATCTGTCAATTCATCCGCCGTCTTACGAACGGAGGACGAATTGACAGATCTCCAACCAATAGAAACACTTCCGTACAAACGAATGCATGGGACACGGGCTTTAGTCTCTGTTTGGTACTTTTTATCGGTACATGCCAGGCTGTTTGTACGTAGGTGTTTACCATCTAAATTCGCTCGTCAATTCCAGCACATTTCCCTAATTGTGTAATTAGGAATTTGCATTGTGGTGCATACAGCCCTGCAAAAATGTGCGTTTTGCGCAATTGTTTGAAAGAAAAAATGGCCAATTCCTGCGTTCATTCATAAGAATAACAAAATCCAATCGGGAGTTAAGGAGTTGATAGTGCACACACCGGGATGGATGCCATTTGCACTTCTTCCATAAAATATTGTCTCATTTACAAACAGAAACGTACGCGATTATTAATGAAATATTGCTTATCAATTTGCTCTGATATATGCGGTCGGAAGTTGAATAAAATTCAGTGCGCTCATGACCATGAAGAATTGAAAACATTTGATTAGATAGATATTTCACATTTCATAAGATTACGGTGCAGTTCAAATCTCCAATTATTTATACGAAAATATATTTGCTAGAATAGCAGACGCTTGTGCTGGCAGAAGTGGTTGGTTTGTACTGTCTGTTAATTTAAAAAACTGCATTTAGCCCCGAACAATTCCCGTTTGTGCAGTAGATTTCAAAAAAAAAATCGATGTTGAGCATAGTTATAAGTGGAGGCGACCAGCAGAAGCACCTGCTACGCTCAACTTCAGTGTGGCTTAGTCTAACATATACAAAAATAGGTCCAGTGATGGGAAAATACTTTACTTTCTAACAAAAAGCGGCCTACTGTTGGATGAAATATATAAATTCTTTCTGTGCAAGCTGAACTTTTCCACGCTCTCACTGATGGTGTAGATGGAGGAGATTTTTAAGCCGTTCTTGTTGGCGATTATTTGGAAATGGGGCGTGGGCCGGTACTCGTGATTGTATGGGGATCCCTGCAACAAGAGCGGCCTTTTTTGCGAATCCGATGTGAACGAGCGGTTGAATAAGCTGGCGACGTGCTTCGGAGTGGATAGTCGAATGGAGAGCGGTCTTTTCGTGGAAGAAAACGGCGCCTTTCCATGCAGGAAGGCCAGCTCATTCCTGCGCCGTTCCAACACGTTCTGATACACATTGGTGTCTTTTCTTCCTTTCGCGAAGTTGTTGTAATAATAGCGCAAGATGCTGCCCGAATTGTTGTCCTTTTTGCCGCTCTGCCGCGTAAATGTGTTGTTGTTGTTTCGGAAAATCTGCACTTGTGGCTGCGCTGCTGGGTAGTAGATTTTCCGCAATGTCTGTGGCGGCTTAACTGCAGCCGGTTGCTTGGCGGCTTCCTGCGGCTTACTGCAATTGCATGGACTATTGGCTTGACACGCTATTTCATTACGTTGTCACACTTCCTGCAAACTAGAGCGTTTCAAGGCTGTTCACGGTTCAAATGTTCATCTTGCCTGCAAAAATTTCACTGGACACACTCCTTGTCGGTTATCGCCCGAACGGATCATCACCATGCCCTCAATTTCCTCACCAATCTGGATCACAATCTGATCCCTCAGGAGCATTAATCCATTATCGCCGTCCGTTACTTGAAGATTGTGGGTTACCTGAAAGGGGAATTTTTCCCTATTARTGCGCTCTAAACCTAATTCCAATGAGTAGAGGATGTAAAATKAGAGTCGTTCTGCTGTGAAATACMTGAATWAACTAATGAGACCSGCGAGAGCCCTTTTTAAAAAACAATTTTATTTTGTTAGATTTCAAAAGTTCATAAAAGTTACTCGTCGACTGCCTACTTCTGACTGACTGGCCTCCGCACATCTCTTTGGTAGTTATTCTGCTGGCTCATCAGTTTATGAGGATAGGTGGTCAGTTAACTCATGTTACCCATGATAGCACAAAATATTACATACATATTTAGGAAATATTTATACGTTTGCTAAATATTTCAGATCAAAAGCAAGTATTTCTTAAATATTGTTTTTAAGATATTTGTTTCTAATATTTAATTGACGTGAAACAAATAAGTTATTAATAATTTTCTTATTACATAATACTTTTTGTACCTATATATAACAACCTTCACACGCAAAAGGTTACTAATATATTATTTTAATAAGTGGGAACAAACTTTAGAACATAATATTTCAATTTTCATTGGTCAATGAATAGAAAATATTTCAGAGCAAAAGAAAATATTATTTTTATTCGAATGAATCAAAAAGTGCCATTTTGCGAACAGAAGCTATGATCAAAAAGAAGCACAGTGTGCGACAAAGTAAATGTGACACTTTGAACTTGCCACTGTCATTATATATTTTTTAGTATTTTTATTTAAAAATAACCGAAATGCTTTTTTAAGGAATTACGTAGGTTTATCAACAACTATTGATC